CATGCCTGTAGTCCCAGCTACTCGGGAGGCTGAGGTGGGAGGATCGCTTGAACCCAGGGGCTGGAGGCTGCCGGGAGCTGGGATCGCGCCACTGCACTCCAGCCTGGGTGACAGAGCAAGACCCTGTCTCAAAAAAAATAAACAAACAAAGAATAATAAGAAAGGCCGACTTGCCCCTCACCTCCCCAGCATCCCAGTTACTGCCTATGACTTACCAGCTTGCCCATCTCTCTGCCCCTTCCTATCCCTCCTGTCTCCATCATTCGGCCCCCTCCTGGTTCCTCTCTCCTTGTCTTCTCTGTCCCTGTCTCCTCTAATTGGGTCACCCTTTCCTCGTCTCCTTGGTCTCCTCACTTGCTGTTTCTCCTGCCCTCTGTCCCTTTCTCTTTCTTCAGCCTCTTCTGCAAACTTGCTGCTCTTGTCCGCCACCGAGTCTCTCTCTTTGGTAAGTGGTTCCACTCCCTTGGTCTTCCTCCCTAATCTCTCTCTTCTCCACCCTGAAGAAATAGCTCCCAGGTTCTGCCTTAATTTGAACAAGCTTTGTTGTGTTCTTCCTCTGGACCCGGAGACACGGACCGGGTATCCCGGGGGCAGGGCAGTGACTGAGACACCCTGGGCCTGCCGTCAATGGGACTCCCAGGCCAGTGGGAGAGACAGACCCATCTCCAGACAAGGACAGCCCAGTGGGGTCAGGGCTGGGCAGGAAGAAGGCCAGGAGAGTGGTCGGGCTGGGGAGGAGGGAAGTTTGGGGGCACTGTAGGAGTCCAGGCGGGGTGGGGGTGCAATAGCATTCCAACATAGCCTGCGGGTAGCCTCAGGAAGAGAGGGGTTGGGGTGGATGTAGAGGGAGGCACTGTCCTCTGTCCTCTTAGCCATGCCATCTCCCCGGCCCGTCTTCCTCTCCCAGGGACGGATGCCCCGGCTGTAGTTAACTGTCTTCACATCCTGGCCCGCTCCCTGGATGCCAGGTAGGGCCATGGGCAGTGGCACCCACTCCCACCGTCATCGGGCCCCCACCCCAACCCCTGGTCTCCTAGACTGTCCGATTCCAGAGCTGGTGTTCCCCTGCTGCCCTTCTAGGACGGTGATGAAGTCAGGCCCTGAGATCGTGAAGGCTGGCCTCCGCTCCTTCTTCGAGAGTGCCTCGGAGGACATCGAGAAGATGGTGGAGAACCTGCGGCTGGGCAAGGTGTCACAGGCGCGCACCCAGGTGAAGGGCGTGGGCCAGAACCTCACCTACACCACCGTGGCGCTGTTGCCGGTCCTCACCACCCTCTTCCAGCACATCGCCCAGCACCAGTTCGGAGATGACGTCATCCGTAAGGGCTCTTGACCCAAGGGCAGGTTGTGGGGAGTCAGTGTGGCCAACACCACCCATCCTGGGTGCCTGTGAGAGTCCCTGGGTGTTTGAGTGTGTGGGTTTCTTGCTGTAAGCAAAGCATGTGTCAGTACCTTGGCAGGTGGCAAATGAGTTAAAGAGGATGCGAGCTCAGCAGCTCTAACAAAAGACCCTAAATGGACTGGCACAGCGATTCATGCCTGTAATCCCAGCACTTTGGGAGGCTGAGGCGGGAGGAACGCTTGAGCTCAGGAGTTCAAGACCAGCCTGGACAACATAGCGAGACTCCGTCTCTACTAAAAAAAACAATTTTAAAGATTAGCCAGGCATGGAGGCACACGCCTGTAATCCCAACTACTGGGGAGGCTGACGGGGGAGGATCACTTGAGTCTAACAGTTGGAGGCTACAGTGAGCTATGATCATATCACTGCACTCCAGCCTGGATAACAGCAAAATTCTGTCTCTAAAATAAATAAGGAATAAAATAGGGTCCTTGATGATAAAAAAGAGAATCTATTGATAGAGGTTAAGAAAAGTAGCACTTGGCTGGGCACAGTGGCTCACGCCTGTAATCCCAGCACTTTGGGAGGCCAAGGCGGACAGATCACCTGAGCTCAAGAATTCAAGACCAGCCTAGCCAACATGACAAAACCCTGTCTCTACTAAAATACAAAAATTAGCCGGGCATGGTGGTGGTTGCCTATAATCCCAGCTACTTGGGAGGCTGAGGCAGGAGAATCGCTTGAACCCAGGAGGCGGAGGTTGCAGTGAGCCGAGATCGTGCCATTGCACGCCAGCCTGGGCAACAGAGCGAGACTCCATCTCAAAAAAGAAAAGAAAAGAAAAGTAGCACTTGGTAGCCAGGCTCAGTGACTCATGCCTGTAATTCCAGCACTTGGGGAGACCAAGGTAGGAAGATCACTTGAGCCCAGGATTTCAAGACCAACCTGGGCAACACAGCAAAACCCCATCTTAAAAAAAGAAGAATAGAAAAGTAGCACCTGGATAGGGTTCTTCTCCCATCCAACTTTTTATTTTGAAATTTTCAAAACATACAAGAAGGTGGAAAGAAGAAAATTGTTGGCTGGGCACGGTGGCTCACACCTGTAGTCCTAGCTACTTGGGAGGCTGAGGCACAAGAACTGCTTGAACCCAGGAGGTGGAGGTTACAGTGAGCTGAGATCGCACCACTGCAGTCCAGCTTGGGTGATGGAGCAAGACTCCATCTCAAAAAAAAAAAAAAAAAAAAAGAAGAAGAAGAAGAAGAAAAGCCCCGTGTGCTTACCCTTCACTGTGTGGGTGAAAATATTTAGTTTTTTGGTTGAACTTTTGGATGTAAGTTGCACACACCAGCGGGTGTAAGTTGCACACACCAGGATAACCTCATCCCTTAATGTTCATCAGCTGGCTTTCCTAGACTAAGAACCTTCTCTTGTGTAACCACGATTATCACACCTAACTTAACCGTATTTAAATTTCCCTCGTTACCCACAAAATGTCTTTAATTTTTTTTAAATAATTCAGAATCCAGCCGGGCGCAGTGGCTCACACCTGTAATCCGAGCACTTTGGGAGGCTGGGGCAGGCAAATCACTTAAGACCAGGAGTTTGAGACCAGCCTGGGCAACATACTGAGACCCTATCTCTAAAACTATATATATTTTTTCTTTTTTTTAGACAGAGTCTCCCTCTGTCACCCAGGCTGGAGTGCAGTGGCACGATCTCAGCTCACTGCAACCTCTGCCTCCCGGGTTCAAGCGATTCTCCTGCCTCAGCCTCCCCAGTAGCTGGGATTACAGGCATTCACCACCACACTCAGATAATTTTTGTATTTTTAGTAGAGATGGGGTTTCACCATGTTGCCCAGGCTGGTCTCGAACTCCTGACCTCAGGTGATCTGCCCACCTCAGCCTCCAAAGTGCTGGGATTACAGGCGTGAGCCGCCACGCCAACCCTAAAAATATATACATTTTAAATAAAATGAAAAAGATAGCCTAAAATTGCAACAACATTGCAGGTCTGTTTGCTTTTTTCTGGAGGAAGTACCCCTCACTTTCATTATAGCGGCCCATGACTCCTCTCCACAGAAGAAACAACATCTAGCGTTTATTGAGTGCCTAATGTGTGCCCCGTTCTAGTGACTTTCCAAGTAGTAACTCATTTGATCCTCACAACCAACCCCGTGAGGAAGGTACTATAACTATCCCCATGTTATAGGTAGGGAAGTTGAGGCTGACAGTTTGGTAACTTGCTCAAGTCACAAGACTACATGGCAGGCTGGCTGTAAAGCTGCTGGCTCTTCCTCACTGCATAGGCCTATTTGGAGACAGGGGAGGTGGGGTGGGGAGGGCTTGTCTTGTGGGCGCATCCCACAGCCTCGCTCCCGTCTCCCTCAGTGGACGACGTCCAGGTCTCTTGCTACCGAACGCTGTGCAGTATCTACTCCCTGGGAACCACCAAGAACATTTACGTGGAAAAGTAAGGAGAGAGAGCCATCGTTTGGGGCTGGGTGGGGCTGGAGGGGAAGGGAGGGAGCAGGAGAAGAAGACCGGGTGGGTGAAAAGCAGGGTAGATGTTAGGAATCTTCCCGCACACGGCTGCAGCCGCAGTTCCCCGCGGCGGCCGCGTGAGGGCGCTCAGGGACAGGTCGGGCAAGGAGGTAGAGCCGCCAGATCTGGGGCCGGGAAGCAGGCGCTTGAGGGCCTCGCTGAGGAAGAAGGGGAGGCGCAGACCATGGGGACTGTACACAGGTGCCGCGCAACACTGGGGTCCCTGGGGAGGGCCCCTGGCAGTGGCCACGTGACCGCTCCCGAGCTGATTACTAATACAGCAAGAGCGGGGCTGAGACTGTTTCCACCAGCTCTGAAGTTATTCATACTTCAAGTGACACCGGCGGTGTGCAGTGGCTCACACCTGTGAGCACTTTGGGAGGCCGAGGAGGGAGGATCACTGGAGCTCAGGAGTTTGAGACCAACCTGGGCAACATAGTGAGACTCCATCTCTACCAAAAAAAAAATTGTTTTAATTAGCCTGGTGTGGTTGTGGTGTGGTGGTGCTGCTGCCTGTAAATCCTGCTACTCCTAAGGCTGAGATGTGAGGATCAGTTGAGCTCAGGAGTTCGAGACCAGCCTGGGCAGCATAGTGAGACTGCATCTCTACAAAAACAACTTTTTTTTTTTTAACTAGCTAGACATGGTATGGTGTATGCCTGTAATCCCAGCGACTCAGGAGGCTGAGGTGGGAGGATCGCTTGAGCCCAGGAATTCGAGGTCGCAGTGAGCCAAGATCAGGCCACTGGACTGCAGCCTGAGTGACAGAGCGAGACCCTGTCTTAAAAAAACAAAACAAGTAGCACACGTGGAAGAAAGGCAGCTCTGTCCCAAAGGGTTCTGGGAGGAGCCGTTTCTATGGAGATGGGGCTGGGACCCAGGACCCGAAAGAGGGGGACACGTGGCAGCTCAACACAGCCCCCTCTTCCAGGCTTCGGCCAGCCCTTGGGGAGTGCCTGGCCCGTCTGGCAGCAGCCATGCCGGTGGCATTCCTGGAGCCCCAGCTGAACGAGTACAACGCCTGCTCCGTGTACACCACCAAGTCTCCCCGAGAGCGGGCCAGTAAGCTGTGTGGGGCTGAAGCAGTGCCGGGGGTCTGGGTCTCCCCAGCACAGGGCCTTGGGAAGAGCCTAATTTGGGGGTAGTGTGGCTGGGCTGGACTGTGAGCGGCTGAGGATTCCCCAGGTTGGGAGTGCCACACATTCAGGAACCCCAGAGTTTATGGTTTGGGGGCATTTCAAGGCCATTACGTGGGGAGCATTAGGAGATTAATTTGATTTTTAAAACGAGAATCCATTGATAAAGTTTAAGAAAAATAGCACTTGGTGGCCAGGCGCAGTGGGTCACGCCTGTAATCCCAGCACTTTGGAACGCCAAGGTAGGAGGATTGCTTGAGTCCAGGAGTTCAAGACCAACCTGGGCAACATAGCAAAACCCCATCCATGGAATTTGGAGCTGTGGAATTTATTTGAGTGATGGTGACATTTGAGGGCATCGTCAAGCTTGGAGACATAGGGTGAGGGGTATCTGAGCGTGAGAGGATTGAGGGAAGGCATAGGTTCATTCCTTCATTCAGCAAATATGTATTGAGCAGTTACGATGTATGAGGCGCTGTCCTAGTCACCTGAGGTTCAGCAGTGAACAGATAAAATAGACAAAAGTCCCCTGAGTTCTGGGTCCAGAGGCTAGAATGAGGCGTGGACCTGGGGGGAATATACGCTCCAGGGCAGGAAGCTCGTCTTCTTGGTCAGCTGTGCTCCCAGAATGGCACCTGGCCCAGAGTCAGCGAGTGAGCAAGTGACAGGTTGTCTGTTTCAAGGGAGTGAACCGGGTGTGGGATTCAGAGACGACGCCGAGGGACGGGGTGGGGTTGGAAAAGGTCTCTTTTGGAGTATGCTGCACTGTAGGGATGAGGGGAATGGGCTTGGGATGTGGGAGATTTTAGGAGGGAAGGTTTCTAGGGGTGAGATTTTAGGCAGCAGACAGGCTCGGGGGTGTGAAGTGTTTGCAGGGCCACTGAGTTTCAGTGTGAGGGTTGGGAGAGGTAGTTGGGCTGGAGGGTGAGATGGGAGGAAGAGGGTTTGGGAGACTGGTTTGGGGGGTGGCAATTCAATGGTGTCTGATGTATTGTGGGGAAGGCCAGGGCACTGAGGTCTGGGGGTGATCGGTTGACATTCCCTGCCCCCCTCCCTGTACCCCAGTCCTGGGGCTCCCCAACAGTGTGGAGGAGATGTGTCCTGACATCCCGGTGCTGGAGCGGCTCATGGCAGACATCGGGGGGCTGGCCGAGTCAGGGGCCCGCTACACAGAGATGCCGCACGTCATCGAGATCACGCTGCCCATGCTATGCAGCTACCTGCCCCGATGGTGGGAGCGCGGGCCCGAGGCACCCCCTCCTGCCCTGCCCGCCGGCGCCCCCCCACCCTGCACAGCTGTCACCTCTGACCACCTCAACTCCCTGCTGGGGAATATCCTGAGAATCATCGTCAACAACCTGGGCATTGACGAGGCCTCCTGGATGAAGCGGCTGGCTGGTGGGTCGGGGGCACTGGGGGTCTGAGGGGTGGGTCAGCGGCCTGGGTTCCCTTGGCCAGATGGTCTGAAAGGGAGACCCATGGTCCCCTGGGAGTTGGGAGGAGTCAGAGTGTAGGTTTTTTCAGCGTCAAAAGGCCAGGGGTCAACTAGGCATGGTGGCTCACAACTGTTACTCCAACACTTTGGGAGGCCAAGGTGGGAGGATCAGTTGAGGCCAGCCATTTGAGACCAGCCTAGGTAACATAGCATGACCCCATCTCTTTAAAAAAAATAACTTTTTTAAATTAGCCAGGTGTGGTGGCACACACCTATAGTCCCAGCTACTTGGGAGGCTGAGGCAGGAGGATCTCTTGAGCCCAGGAGTTGGAGGCTGCAGTGAGCTGTGATTGCACCATTGCATTCCAGACTGGGTGACAGAGTGATATACTCTCTCAAAACAGACAAACAAAACAAAAGGAAGCAAAGAAAGAAAGAGAGAGAGAAGGAAGGAAGGAAGGGAGGGAGGGAGGGAGGGAAGGAAGGAGAAAAAGAGAGAAAGAGAAAAAAGGGAAGGAAGGAAGAAAGAGAGAAAGAGAAAAGGAAAGAAAGAGAGAGAAAGAAAAAGAGAGAGAGAGAGAGAGAAAGAGAGAGAAAGAAAAGAAAAGAAAAGAAAAAAGATCCTCAAAGCGTTAGGTTTCCTGATTCAGAAGTTTCATGTAAGGGCCAGGCATGATGGCTCATGCCTGTAATCCCAGCACTTTGAGAGGCCAAGGTGGGTGGATCACTTGAGACCAGGAGTTCAAGACCAGCCTGGGCAATGCGGTGAAACCTCATCTCTATTATTTAAAAAAAAAAAAAAAAGGTTTTGTGTAAGGAAACAGGTTGTGGATCAGGGTCAAGCTAGCAATCAGGAGCTGGCATCAGAGGCCAGGATCAGGGGCCAGAGGCTGGGGTAAGAAGCCCATTCATGACCTTGGGGTCACATAGTGACCAGAAATCACATAGTGAGGTAAGAGTCTGGGTATGGGCCAGGTCAGAGGTTAAAGATTGGGGTCAGGGGTCATGCTAGTTAAGGATGAGGTAACAGGCCAGGCACAGTGGCTCACACCTGTAATCCCAGAACTTTGGGAGGCCGAGATGGGTGGATCTCCTAAGGTCAGGAGTTCGAGACCAGCCTGGCCAAAATGGTGAAACCCGGTCTCTACCAAAAATACAAAAGTTAGCTGGGTGTGGTGGCAGACGCCTGTAATCCCAGCTACTTGGGGGGCTGAGACAGGAGAATCACTTGAACTCGGGAGGCGGAGGTTGCGGTGAGCCGAGATGGCACCATGGCACTCCAGCCTGGGCCACAAGAGTGAAACTCTGTCTCAAAAAAAAAAAAAAAAAAGGAAAGAAAGAAAGAAAGTGAAGTAACAGGTGAGGCTTCAGTTGTTAGAGGTCAGAAGAAGTCAGGGATTTGTGCCTGGCTGGGGTCACAGGATAGGGACTGAGTCGTAGGTTCAGGTCAGGAGCTATGGCTGGGATCAGTGTTCAGGGACGATGTCCGAGGTTAGGGTCAGGCTGGGGTCGTATGGCAGCTGCTAGGTCGGAGGTGCCGTTAGGGAGTCGGGCTGGGAACGGAGGTCAGGGCCTGTATCAGAGGCCGGAGGTGGCATCGGAGCCCACTGCGCCCCTGCAGTGTTCGCACAGCCCATCGTGAGCCGTGCGCGGCCGGAGCTCCTGCAGTCCCACTTCATCCCCACCATCGGGCGGCTGCGCAAAAGGGCGGGGAAGGTGGTGTCCGAGGAGGAGCAGCTGCGGCTGGAGGCCAAGGCCGAGGCCCAGGAGGGCGAGCTGCTGGTGCGAGACGAGTTCTCCGTGCTCTGCCGGGACCTGTACGCCCTGTATCCGCTGCTCATCCGCTATGTGGACAACAACAGGTCAGCGGCGCCCCGCCGTCCCCCCGCCCTACGCCCCGACCTACCGCGTCCTCCAGCCCCAACTGATCTCTGCCTCCTGACTGGCTGGAAACTTCTTCCAATGCTCTGGCTCCACCAGCCTTCTGACTCTTCCTCCTGGTTTCTTCTAGCTTTGAGAACATGGGCCCAACATCACCCAGCCCACTTGTTTCTTTCTTTTTGGTTTTGGTTTTGGGGTTTTTTTTGTTCGTTTGCTTGTTTGTTTTGAGACAGAGCCTGGCTTCGTTGCCCAGGCTGGAGTGCAGTGGTGCAATCTTGGCTCACTGCAACCTCCACCTCCCGGGTTCAAGCAATTCTCCTGCCTCAGCCTCCCCAGTAGCTAGGATTATAGGCGCATGCCACCACGCCCGGCTAAGTTTTGTATTTTTAGTAGAGACAGATTTTCACCATGTTGGCCAGGCTGGTCTTGAACTCTTGACCTCATGATCTGTCTGCCTCAGCCTCTCAAAGTGCTGGGATTATAGCCATGAGCCAATACACCTGGCCAATGTGATTTTTTTTTTTTATCATTCTCCTAATGCTGGACACTTAGATTGTGTCGATTTCTTTGTCACTATGCACAACACTGTAAGGAACAGTTTGCTTTTTTAAAATTATTATTATCGAGACAGGGTCTTGCTCTGTTGCCCAGGCTGGAGTGCTGTGGCATGATCATGGCTTACTGCAGCCTTGATTCCTGGGCTCAAGTGATCCTCTGCTTCTGTCCCTGCGTAGCTGGGATTATAGGCTCACACCAACATGCTCAGCTAATTTCTGTATTTTTATGGGGTCTCACTATGTTGCACAGGTTGGTCTCGAATTCCTGGGGTCAAGCGATCCATCCACCTCAGCCTCCCAAAGTGTTGGGATTACAGAAGTGAGCCACCACACCTGGCTGTGATTTTTTTTTCAACATAACAATACACCATGAAAGACATATAGGCCGGGTGTGGTGGCTTATGCCTGTAATCGCCTTGGGAGGCCGAGGCGGGTGGGTCACCTGAGGTCAGGCGTTTGAGACCAGCCTGACCAACATGGCAAAACTCTGTCTCTATTATGAATACAAAAATTAGCCAGGCGTAGTGACGCAGGCTTGTAATCCCAGCTACTCCAGAGGCTGAGGCAGAAGAAACGCCTGAGCCTGGGAGGCGAAGGTTGTACTGAGCTGAGATCGTGTCAGTGCACTCCAGCCTGGGAACAGAGTGAGGCTCCATCTCAAAAAAAAAAAAAAAAAACATATAGATTCACCCCTTTTGTCTTGGTGGTCGTGTGACATTCTCTGTTGTTGGATATAGTTCCATTTTTAACTCAGTAAATATGAACAAATTGTGGTTTCTTCATACAATGGAAGACTCCATGGCAGTGGGAGTGAACAAGTTGTTTCTACACAGAATGTGATTGGCTTTCACAAATGTTAGGTGGAATGAAAGAAGTCAGAAAACCGGCCGGGCGCGGTGGCTCAAGCCTGTAATCCCAGCACTTTGGGAGGCCGAGGCGGGTGGATCACGAGGTCAGGAGATCGAGACCATCCTGGCTAACATGGTGAAACCCCGTCTCTACTAAAAAAAAATACAAAAAAAACTAGCCGGGCGTGGTGGCGGGCGCCTGTAGTCCCAGCTACTCGGAGGCTGAGGCAGGAGAATGGCGTGAACCTGGGAGGCGGAGCTTGCAGTGAGCCGAGATCGCGCCACTGCATTCCAGCCTGGGTGACACAGTGTAAAAAAAAAAAAAAAAAAAAAAGAAGTCAGAAAACCAAGAAATAAACTACAAATTATACCATCTCTTTAATGTTCATGAGCAGATAAAAATAAGTTTGGGGCCGGGGCAGTGGCTCACAACTGTAATCCCAGCACTTTGAGAGACTGAGGCAGGAGGATCACTTGAGTTCAGGAGTTTGAGACCAGCCTAGGCAACACGGCTAGACCCTGTCTCTACAAAAAAAGAAAACATACAAAAATTAGTCAGGCATGGTGCCACACACCTGTAGTCCTGGCCTCAGGCTGGGACTGGGAGGCTGAGGTGGGAGGATGGTTTGAGCCCAGGAGGTCAAAGCTGCAGTGAACTGTGATCACACCACTGTGCTCCAGCCTGGGCAACAGAGACAGATCCTGTCTCAATAAGGGTTTTTTCTTTAATACAAGTAAATAAATAAAATATGCGAACCTACTTAGTTTCTGACTCTGTCCCCCAAAAAAAGAAATTTTGTGGCTGGGTGCGGTGGCTCACGCCTGTAATCCCAACACTTTGGGAGGCCAAAGCAGGTGGATCACCTGAGCTCAGGAGTTTGAGATCAGCCTGGGCAACATGGCAAAACCCTGTCTCTACTAAAAATACAAAAATTAGCCGGGCGTGGTGGCACGTACCTGTAGTCCCAGCTAAGTGCTCCTGACTGGGAGGCTGAGGCAGGAGAATCGCTTGAACCTGGGAGGCGGAGGTTGCAGTGAGCCGAGATCACACTACTGTACTCCAGCCTGGGCGACAGAGCGAGACTCTGTCTCAAAAAAGAAAGAAAGAAAGAAATTTTTTAAAACAGTTTTTAGCCTAGAAGTTAGAATAAGGATCATTTTTTAGGAGGAGGAAGGGGGAGTGGCTGGGAGGGGCCATGATGGTACTTCCAGGGACCAGAAATGTCCTATTTCTTGACTTTGATGGTGGCTACACAAGTGTGTTCACTTTGTGATAATTAATCAAGATGATACTTCTTAATATGTAGGTTACATAATACATATGTATGTATCGTGTGTGTGTATTGCATGTATACATATTATATTTATGTATTTCAATGAAAAGTTTAGACAAAGAGAAAGTTTTTAAAAAAGGAATAGTCAGGCCAGGCAAGGTGGCCCACACCTGTAATCCCAGCACTTTGAGAGGCCAGGGAAAGAGGATCTCTTGAGCCCAGGAGTTCAAGACTGGCCTGGGCAACCTAGGGAGACCCCCTTGCTACAAAAAGTAAAATAAAAATTAGCCAGGCATGGGCATGGTGACGTGCACCTGTAGTCCCAGCTACTCAAGAAGGCTGAAATGGGAGGATCGCTTAAGCCTGGGAGGTCGAGGTTGCAGTGGAGATCGCATCACTGTACTCCAGCCTGACAGATCGAGACCCTGTCTCAGAGAGAGAGAGAGAGAGAGAGAGAATGGATCATTTTTTTTTTTTTTTTT